CAGGAGGAACGCCAAACAAGTAAACCACACTGCCTCCCCCGAGCCATCCTGGACTGCTGGGTGGGGGCGCTGCGTGCCGGGCCCCTCAGTTATCCGTGAGGTTCGGCCCCCACCGGTGGGGCCACTCTATGCTGGCCCAGGGCGGGGCAGTCCAGATCCTGCCTCAAGCACAGGGAGAAGGGATGACTTCTGACTTCCCCAGCATGAATGGCCTGAAGATGCAAAAGAAGTATGGCGGGGGGACTTCCCTGGTGGTCCCGTGGCTAAGACTCCAAGCTCCCAGTGCGGGGGCCCTGGGTTCGATCCCTGGTCAGGGAACTTGATCCCACATACTGCAACTAAGGATCCCGTGTGCAGCAACTAAAAGACCGAAGATTTGGCATGCTGCAACTAAGACTCGGTGTGGCCAAAGAAATAATTTTTTTTTTCTTTAAAAAAAGAAAGTATGGAGAGCGACCAGGCGGGAGCAAACCTCCCAACCTGTCGCCGGTCTTCTCCCCCATCATCCCCCCAGGCAGTCTCCACACCACCGCAGACCCCACCTTCTCCGCTGACACTCCAAGAGGGTCTCTCTGCCCGTCCCCTGTGCTCCGGGCTCCTCCCCTGCCCAATCTCCATCCCTTCTCATCCAGGTGGCCAGGGAGGGCCTCCGAAGAAGTAAATCTGAGCCAGCGACCTCAGGTTAAACGTTCTACGGCCCCCAGCACCCTCAGGACAGAGCCCCAGTTCGCTCACAGAGGCACCACGCCCTGATGCCATCCACGCTTTCAGGAACCAGGTGGTTTCCCAGGCTCTGGCCTGGGGACAAGGACTGCATCTGATGGCTGCTCCACCACCCCGCCCCGCCCAGGCCCTCCTGAGAGAAGGGACTGGCTAAGCGCTCACTGGGCTTAGGTGGACACGGGCCTGGCCCGCACGGCTGTTCCCGGGCCTCCAGAGGACAGCTCATTGCCACGCTGACTTAACTCCTTTGCCCACAGGTTCCCCTTGTCGTCAAAGCTCCTGAGATGGACAAACCACAGCCGCCTCCTCTTCCTCCTCCCCTGCCTCTTCCTCCCGGAACTTTTCCTGCTCAGATAACAAAGGCCCTTTGACCTTCCTGTTCCTCCAGCCAGCCTTCCACTCAAGCCATAACCCTCCAGGAGAATCCATTCAACAGCTACAAATAACCAGGCAGGACGTGGAGATCAAAAAGCCCTAAACAATGACTGTGGCTCCCGGGCGCCTGGCGGTCGGGGCAGAGATGAACCAGCCACCATCGCTTTCCTCAGAGGGCTCTGGAGCTGGTGCGGCTGCTGCCACAGACAAGCTCTGACCCGGATGCCCGAGTCCTGATTTTGCTTCTGATCCCGGAAAAACCCTTCCTGTCTGGTGCCTCAGTCTCCTCTCCTATAAAATGGGGTAATAACATCAACCCTGGAGGGCTGTTCTGAGGACGAAATCAGATAAAGCACTGTGCTGGAGCCATGAGAAGTATCCCAAGAGGCAGACAGGACACTTGCTGGACCAAAGATAAGGAGCAGAGAGGGGAGGGGCCAGGAGCAAAAGAGAAAAGACTGCGGGAAAACCAGGCAGCTGCCCACAACGTGCCTCTGAGAAGCAGAGTTTGCCAGCTTGAAGGTATGTGGGGAGATGGCAGTCCTCACTCTGGCTGCACACGGGAACCACCCAGGAGCTCTGAGGGCCAATGTCCAGGCCACCTCCCAGCCCAGCTCTGCTGGAATCCCTGGTGTGGGGACCCCAGCATTGGGGCCGCAGAGGCAGCCGTGCAGAGAGCCACTGCCAAAGGTCAAGGGCACACTCGTGCTCTGAAAACCCTGTGCTGAGCAAAGCTGAGTAACCACATGTCCCCCACACTTGCTCGGCCACATCAAAATCCTCCCAAGAGTGTCAGGGAAGATGCTGAGACAGGTGAGTTTATAGCACAGGTTTTGGAAGTGGGAGGCCCAGTTACATTCCTGACTCTGCCACTTGACAGCAAAGACTCCATCCATCAAAGCCTCTGTTCCTCTCTACAAAGCGGGCAGGATCATGCTGACCTCCGTGGTTGTTAGGCGGATCAAATGAAATCAGGAAGGTGAGGCCCCGGCAGACACCTGGTGGGCGTTACTGTTGGCCACAATACTAAGTGAACCCCAGTCCCTACCCTCACCCTCCACAGCACAGGGGCTGCGCTCACTTTTTAAACAGACCCACAATGGGATTTCCCTGGTGGTCCAGTGCTAAAGAATCTGCCTGTCAGTGTAGGGGACACGGGTTCCATCCCTGGTCCTGGAAGGTTTCACACGCTGTGGGGCAACTAAGCCCATGCCCCACATCTACTGAGCCCATGTGCCACAAACACTGAAGCCTGCACACCCCAGAGCCCGTGCTCCACAAGAGAAGCCATGCCAGTGAGAAGCACCGCAACTTGAGTAGACCCTGCTCACTGCAACTGGACAAAGCCCAAGTGCACCAACAAAGACACAGCACAGCCAAAAGCAAACAAATAATAAATTAAAAAGTATATACATCCATTCTGAGGACCTACTATATGGTGGTCAACGCAGACCTGGTCCCTGCCCACACCACACAGCATGAAGCCTGGCAGAGGAGACAGCAGTAATTAAAGGATCATAATTCAGATTTTTATGGTGGTGTGGGGAGGGGGAATGTGCAAACAGAACAAAGATACCGCCATTTCCACTGAGAGCTTCCCTGAGGAAGGGACATTTGAACTGAAGGATTAATAGGTGTCAACGTAGTATCGACGCGGCAGGTAAAATAAGCTGGAAGATGAAGAAGGGGGCTGGTATGGAGTAGAGAGGAGGGAAGCCACATGGCAACAGGGAGGGGACAGATGGGAACTGTATTTAGACAGTGGAACTGGCTGGGCCTGACTGATGGCTGGAGGTGAGGGAGTAAAGGTGGTTATTGGAGACCCCTGGGTTCCTTGTTTGAACGCCAGGATGGATGGGGCTCTGGGACACTGCAACCCTCTCCCTGACACACAGGCAAGTGCACTTTCCCTCCCCCAAGTGTCATCATTCTCATAGCATCTCCCCAAGGTACAATATAGATGCATTTATCTGATTCGTCTATTTCCCCCACTACAACGTAAGCTGCAGAAGGCAAGAGTTTTGCACAGTTTGCTGAGTAATCTCCAGCCCCTACAGCAAGGCCTGGCACCTTGCATGTTTTAATAGTTAAAGAGTTTGTTGAATCTATGTTGGGATGATAACAAGCAACAGCCTTGTTAGGGCTCCTGGATTGGGAAGGAAACACAGATCAATAAAAATGTCTTGCATATTGATGATGATGATACAATAATAATGAAAGAAGTGGGCATAATACCCACTTATTAAGCATCTACTTTCTCCCTAAACTTTCTTCTTAGTACCAGATTTTAAAACAGAGTTCCATGTTTTGAGGGCTTATGATGTGTTAGATATGGCACTAAGTGCTTTAAAGTCTGAGCATTTTTCATAAGGACCAACTTTCAAAATTCCAAGCACGCTCTAAGGCCTCCTCTTGCCTGGAATATTCTTCCCCCTACTTATCCCCAGGGCTTGCTTCTTCCCCTCTTTTCCTCAGAAAGGCCTTCCTCCACCAGCCACCAGCCACCACTCCATCCCTTTTCTCTCCCTGATTCTACTTAAGTTTTCTTTATAGGACTTCTCACTAGCAGGTGGCACATTTATTGCTATTTTTATTGTTCGCCTGGGTGCCCTGCTCAGTTGTGTTAAACTCTTTGTGACCCCAGTCCGATAGCCTCCTCTGTCCGTGATATTTTCCCTGCAAGAATACTGGAGTGGGTTGCCGTTTCCTCCTCCAGGGGATCTTCCCAATCCAGGAATCCAGCTCAGGTCTCCTGCATTGGCAGGCGGATTCTTACCACTGAGTCACCTGGGAAGCTCATTGTTTGTGTAAATTTCCTACTAAAAGGTTAAGCTTTGTGAGGACAAGGAAGCAAGTGCCTGGGAAACAGTAAGTGCTCAGTAAGTTTGTTGAATGAATGTCTCACCGAGCCTTAGGTGCGGTTATGATCCCATTTTACAAGGGAGTAAACTGAGGCACGCAGATCGCATCACTGGCTTTCATACACAGGGTGAGTGGCACAGGCGGAATTTAACCCAGGCAGTAAGTCCTCAATATATACCAAGCAATCGTAATTACTACCCTCTTACTCTGTGTCAGGTTTTGAGCTAGGAGCTTGTCCCTGAGTTGTCTCGCACAGTTTTAGGAGTAACCCGCGAGGGCGGCCCTGTCCGGACCCGGCTTTGCAGAGGCGGAAGCCGGCAGTGGAGGTCTCTCCGCAATCAGGAGCGGGGCGGGTATTCGGCCCGGACCGCTGCCTTGCCATCCGCGCCTCCCGGGGGCCTCGACTGGCTTTCCAGCCGCGGCCCGTGGCTCCTCCCCACCAGGACCCGGCGCTCACCCCGGGGCCGGGGTCTGGATCTTGAGCCCACAGCTCCGCTACCATCTCGGTGTGCAGAAACTCGAACAGTGCGGGGTCGGCCATGCGCGGGTCTCAGTCGCCTAACAACCGCTCAGCGTCTCGTGTTCTCATTGGCCCAGTTGGGCAAGCCCCGCCTTCTGCTTCTTAAGTGCGGCCCGCCCACCCCTGCTTCCATTCGTGTTTCAGGCTAGCCCCGCCTTCCGTTCCTGGGCTCTCGTGGTGCGCGCGTGAACCGGGGAGGGCCTGCTTTGTCTGTATTGGCCGCACGTGACAAGCACCTCCGCCCTTCCAGCTGTTTCTTCACCGTTTCCGGGTTCGTGAGCGTTTCCATTGGTCGAGTCGCTGGTTACACGCGACAGCTCATCTTTTAGACTCTCTATTTGTCCACTCTTCTCGCAGCACAACCCGGAAGCGCCAGCCCAACCGCTTTCCTATTGGCCGTGCCCTTATTCACGTGGCTCTTTACAGACGCCCCAACATCTAGTCCGGAGGGCTTACTTCCTGGTTGGTAGTTGGGCGGCCCAGGAGATAGGCCGCCAACACCCGCCCAACTTTCTCCCCTATTGGTTGGGGCTGCCGCGCTCCTCGGTAAAGACGCCGTACTTCGGATAGGTAGAGGATCCCGCAGGCTCGGAGCTCTGGTGACCCGGTACGGTCTTCGGTGATAACGCTCCCCCCCAACCCGCCCCTCGTGCATCCTCCCCCGAGTCCAGTTGGACTGTTACCCTTTCTGTGATGGAGGCCCTGGTTCCTGAGCGTCTCAGAAACCCGTGTGCTTCAGAATCCGTCACAGGCTAAGAGGACAGTGCGGAGGGTGTGGCCTCTGCTAGGAAGCAAAATCGGGAAGAGTTTAGTTTAGGATTCCGGGACCTCGTGTCTCAAGAGTCTTGATCGAGCTGGTGGTCCTCAGTTTTCCCATCAGTACACTGAAGAGGCAGAGTCCAGTAGTTCCTACCATCATTAGGGATGATGGGCTCAGTTTGCAGAGACTGAGGCCCAGGCAGGCAGTGACCCCAAATTAAGATAGTGGAGGAGGTGAGAATCCAGAAACTGCGGCTTTTAACCACGGCAGGGCGCCCGCCTCTCATATCATCCTTTCCCGCGTCTTCTCCCTAGCTCGCGCCATGGAGTCTCAGAGTCGTCCGCGGAGGCCGCTGCGGAGGCCTGAGACTTTGGTTCAGGGGGAAGCGGCTGAGTCGGACTCGGATCTCTCTGCGTCCTCGTCGGAGGAGGAGGAGCTGTACCTGGGCCCTTCGGGCCCGACGCGTGGCCGCCCCACGGGACTGCGAGTGGCTGGGGAGGCCGCGGAGACCGACTCAGACCCGGAGCCGGAGCCGAAGGCCGCGCCGCGGGACCTGCCTCCGCTCGTGGTGCAGCGGGAGACGGCCGGGGAGGCCTGGGCGGAGGAGGAGGCCCCGGCGCCCGCCCCCGCGCGCTCGCTGCTGCAGCTCCGGCTGGCTGAGAGCCAGGCGCGGCTGGACCACGACGTAGCGGCCGCGGTGAGCGGCGTGTACCGCCGCGCGGGCCGTGATGTGGCCGCCCTGGCCGGTAGGCTGGCGGCTGCCCAGGCAGCGGGATTAGCTGCAGCCCACAGCGTGCGTCTGGCGAGGGGGGACCTCTGCGCGCTGGCGGAGCGTCTGGACATCGTGGCCAGCTGCTGCCTGCTGCCCGACATCCGCGGTGTGCCGGGGACCGAGCCTGAACAAGACCCGGGATCGAGAGCCTAGCCATGACCCACTGTCTCCACTGACTGTGCCCTGGGGGTAGGCCTTGCGGCCTCTTGACCTGGCTCTCTGCTCTGTTTAGCCACCCACCCATCTTGCTGTCACCCTCAGGGATAACCTCGCCCCTGGATAATGCTGTCTGTGTGTGTGTGTGTGTGTGTGTGTGTGTGTGTGTCTGTGTGTGTGTGTGTGTGTAGCCCTCCTGGACCACAGCATCTGGTTCCTCCCCCTGGGCTTGACCTTTTCTTCCTGGTTCAGAGGTTGTGTCTGAAACTTGACTCCAGCTCCTGGGTACCTAGCTTCCCTTTGATCTGCCTCTCTCTTAAGGGCTCATGGAGCCTCATCTGTCTTTTCTCTGCCTTCCTCAGTTTGGTTTCTGTTCACAGGGGCTGGACCTGCTTTCTCCCCACGGTAGCCCCAGAATCCGGTTGAATGTCGATTCCCTGATATCTTCCTTTACTCCGTTTACTCCCTCAGCTCTGTCTCTCCTCCTTGCCCCGCTTCTGGAATTTTGTCCCTCTAATCTGGACCCTTTTTCTGCTCCCCAGGCTTGGCCTTCATTCCGTCTCCACCTTCTGGTCCTTGCTCTGCCACCTCTTGGCTCCTTCTCCTTGGGCTTAGCCCTGCCTAGCATCTGGTTCCTCCCCCTGGGCTTGACCTTTTCTTCCTGGTTCAGAGGTTGTGTCTGAAACTTGACTCCAGCTCCTGGGTACCTAGCTTCCCTTTGATCTGCCTCTCTCTTAAGGGCTCATGGAGCCTCATCTGTCTTTTCTCTGCCTTCCTCAGTTTGGTTTATGTTCACAGGGGCTGGACCTGCTTTCTCCCCACGGTAGCCCCAGAATCCGGTTGAATGTCGATTCCCTGATATCTTCCTTTACTCCGTTTACTCCCTCAGCTCTGTCTCTCCTCCTTGCCCCGCTTCTGGAATTTTGTCCCTCTAATCTGGACCCTTTTTCTGCTCCCCAGGCTTGGCCTTCATTCCGTCTCCACCTTCTGGTCCTTGCTCTGCCACCTCTTGGCTCCTTCTCCTTGGGCTTAGCCCTGCCCTCTTGGCCTCATCTTGTTTCCTGGGTCCAGCTGTACCCTTAGTTTTGGTTCTGCTTCTTTCTGCTTCTCCCATTCTGTTTAAACTACCTGCTTCCTTCTGGACTCCAGGGATCCCCTATGATTTTCTTCAGGTCCAAGATGAGGCTCCCTCCTGACCCAAGGAGGTCCCCTCCCAGCTATCCAGGCCCAAGGTGATGTCTCCTCCAGGCCCAAATAGGTGTATCCTTCCCACCCCCCAGGCCGAGATTATGCCTTCTGCCCAAGCTCCAGGTATGAGCTCCAGGCCTTGGCCTGACTTACCAGGCTGAGAATGCCCCCAGTACAGACTCGCCCTGGAACTTTATGTGCAATATGACACCACTTTGCAGATAAGGACCACAGTGTAGTTTGTTTGTTCACTGTGTTCCTTGGAGGCTATGGATGCTAAATGGCTTGGATTTCTGGGTTAGCTCCTTCTGTCTCCTCCTCCTCACTGCTCCCTCCTCTCCCAGCCCCTGCCCCTCAATCCCATTCACTTGTATTCCCCTCCCCCACTCTCTTATCCCAACCTGAGCTGAGATCTGAGCTCCCAGGATGAAGAAGTGCTGAGGAAGAGCGTTGTATGGCAAACTCATTAAGACTCAAGACATTCACTGATATGATCAGTTCCTCTTATCTCCCCATCTAAGCTGGGGGCCTGTCGGTTGGCGATTCTACTGCAAATGTGAGTCCCAAGAAAGGGATCCTTCCCACCTGGCAGGTTGAAAGTAGACCTGTAACTAGGAAATTAGGGCCCCAAGTTTTTTCACCCTGGTTCTGCGCTTACATGTACTTTGTTCATTCACCACACATTTACTGAGCTCCTGCTCTGTGCCTGTCCTGAGCCAGCCACTGGGGATGCCCCACCCAGGCTGGGCCCTCTCAGAGCTGACGATCCACTCGGGAAGACAGACATGAAAATATTATTGTAAAAAAAAGAAAAAATATTATTGTATAAGTGGATAGTTTTAATAATTGTAATTTAACTTTGACTGTAATTTTTTTGGCATTGTGGTTAGTACCCTAAAGAAATGCAGGAGTTTTGTGAGAGTGTAACTGAAATCTGTCAGACTTTGTTTGGAGGATGGTCAGATGGCTTCCGTGAGGAAGTGATGAGTGAATTTGAGCCAAACCCTGAAGGTGTGAAAAGATGAAACATGTTGGGTGAAAAAGTGTTGTGAGCAGCATATGCAAGGGCCCTGAATCAGAAGAGGGCACAGCCTATTTAATAACAGAAGAGGGTGGTATCTTCTCATCTCTACCTGGAACGGGGAGGCCAGGGGAGGTGGGGGTGGTGAGTGCTGTGCTAGCAGGGGCCAGACAAAGCTGGGCTTTTAAACCAAGTAAAAATCCTTGGTCTTTATTGAACAGCCAACAAGCAGAGAATGATGCCATCTGGTAAATGTGTTGTGTGAAGGAGCCTCAGTCTGGTGCTTCTGCAGTGTGGTTGCCTCTGAAAAATACCCAAAGATACTGGTTTTGAAATCAAACGTCCTTTTTTAAATGTACAGCTGAGCTCAGAGCATGGGAAATCTGTACCCAAATTGCAGAGGTAGCTTCAAACCACAGTTGTCCTGATAGTATTTGCCAATACCAGATATTCAAATCCTTGTTGTTTTTTTTTAAATAATTTATTGAAGTGTAGTTGATTTACAGCGTTGTGATAATTTCTGCTGTGCAGCAAAGTGATTCAGTTATTTTTGTTGTTCAGTCGCTCAGTCATGTGACCCCATGGACTGCATGCAGCATGCTGGACTTCCCTGCCTTTCACTATTTCCCGGAGTTGACTCAAACTCATATCCATTGAGTCTATATATGTTTTTTTTCATGTTCATTTCCATTATGGTATATAACAGGATATTGAGTATAGTTCCCTGCGCTATGCAGCAGGACCTTGTTGTTTATTCTATATATAATAGTTTGCATCTGCTGACCCCAAACTCCCAATCCTTTGCTTCCCTACCCTCTTGGCAACTACACGTCTGTTCTCTATGTCTTTGAGTCTGCTCTGTTTTGTAAATAAGTTCATTGGTATCTTGTTTTAGATTCCACATGTAAGTGATATCATATAGTATTTATTTTTCTGTGTGACTTACTTCACTTAGTATGATCATTTTAGGTCCGTCCAGTTTGCTGCAAACGGCCTTTCATTCTTTGTCATGGCTGAGTAATATTCTGTTGTAGACATATATCACATCTTCTTTATCCATTCCCCTGTCAGTGGGCATTTACGTTGTTTTCACATCTTGGTTGTTGTAAGTAGTGCTCCTATGAACATTGGGGTGCTTGGGTGTTGTAAGTAGTGCTCCTATGAACATTGGGGTGCTTGTGTCTTTTTGAATTAATTATAGTTTTGTCTGGATTTACGCCCAGGAGTGAGATTGCAGGATCATATAAAATCTTGGATTTTAACAGCTGTTGGACCTTGGGCCAGGTGGTTTGGAGACAAGCAGAGGCCCCTGCATAAAACTTAGTCCCTTGAAGAACTACATCTTCAATGAAAGAATGTGGTAGGAAACTTAGAAAACTTGTCCATTTTGGCTTGGGCTGTGCATAAAGGGACTATTTCCTCAGGGAATTCGTGACTACAGGCCTTTCTTCAGGCCTGATTTGGGTTTGGTTTCACCCTTGTAGAGCAGTCCAGGAAGCCAGAAATGGACTGAAAGTAGGCCACAGCCAGGGGATACACCCTCAACTGGCCTCATTCAGAATTACAGCAGATTAATACAGACCAAACAAGCTCACAATTGAAAAATGCCAGGCGTACCTGATGATGAAGTAATGAACTAGTGTGGGCTGCTGGTTCCTTTCCCCAACTTCAGCCTTGGAGAAACTGGAAGACAGAACAAAATCAGGATTGGAGGAAAAGAAAAATGTTGAGGAGTCTTCAGGGACAAAGAGAATTCTGGTTCTGGCATAGTATACTGGTACTTATTTCTTTGTAATAAATGACCAAAAACTTAGTGGCTGAAAACAACTGTTTTATTATGCCCCAGATTCTGTGGGTCAGGAATTCCAGTCAGGCTCAACTGGAAGATTCTTTGGTTCCTTGGAGTAATGACTGAGGTCACTGAGGTGTTCAGCTGGCGAGTGGGCTGGCACAGAGAGCCCCACGTGATTTCACTCAGGTGCCTGACTACACTTACTCAGAGATTAGGCTCGCTGGCTGAAGTGTCTATGAGCCGCCGCCTCATATGGCTCAAGCTTCCTCCTAACATGGCAGCCCCTAAGTCATCAGATTCCTTACATAGCAGCTCAGCTCCAAATAAATTTCAGGTTTTTTACTTAAAACTTTATGCCACGCAGCATGTGGGATCTTGGTTCCCAACCAGGGATCAAACCCATGTCCCCAAAGCATGGAGTTTTAACCATGGACTGCCAGAGAAGTCCCCACATATATTTCAATGGACAAAGTAGAAGCACTCGGGAGTGTTGTAACAGTTACTAGCTAGTCAGTAAGTGCAGCCAAGATTCAAAGGCAGGAGTGGAGGGGAAGGAGACATGGACCTTTGATGAATGATAGTGTCCGCCTTTGTGGATCTATTTTGAAATCACTCGGGGGAGTGGATTGTGGAAGAGGCTTTGACTGTTTTGGTCCCTCTCTTTCACCTTGCCTTGGATAAATGATTGCCTGAGACAACAGCAGCGACCACGAAGACCCTCTGGGGAGGGTGAGGTCACATCAGGGGTGTTCCGGATTCCTGTTTCATTTAATGGGTTATAACATATTCCTGTCATTGCTTTGTGTCCAGTTTGGCCAGTAGGATCTCTTTTCGAGCTGGCTTCTGTGTCCTGTGACATTTCTCTATCATTGTATGAATGCTTTCTTGCTGTCCAGCACAGGATGATCTAGGCACATCTTGTATTTTTCTCTGCCTCAGCCTTGGAATCAGCCATCTGTGCATGGGTCCCTGGTTCCTTTTAGTGGGAAATGGTGTTTAGAAGCCAAGATGTGGGTGCTGGGTGTGCTCACTGCTAGTGAAGTATTGCTACTCCCAGGCCCTCTCAACGCACAGACCTAAAACAAAAACACAAACAAGGCAAGCAAAACTACGTAATCAAATAATAATTCAATAGTGCAGATAATTCAAAACAAAACTACGTATCCCCATACACACATCTTCAAATTGGTTTTATGTTTAGAGTGGTTCACAACAAAATTGAGTAGAAAGTACAGAGAATTCCCATATGCCCCCAACCCTGCCCCTCACAACCTCCCCCACTATCAATATCCCACACCTGAGTGGTACATTTGTTACAGTCGATGAACCTACATCAACATCATTACCACCCAAAGTCTACATTTTAGAATTCACACTT